ATATACTCTTGTAGTTCTGGAGGCCAAAAGGTCAAACCAAGGTCTCGACAGGGCTGACTCCTGCCGGCCCCAGGGGAGAACCCTCCTGGCCTCCTCCAGTTCTGGGGGGCTTGTGCTGCTCCACAGTGTCTCCAGCACTCCACCCTCCTTTATCGTCACAAACGTCTGCCCTGGGTCTCTGCGTCCAAGTGTCCTTCTCCTTAGAATGACACCAGTCCTGGGATGTAGGGGTCCCCTACCCCCGTATGACTTCATCTTGATCACATCTGCAAAGACCCTATTCTGAATAAGGTCACATTCGCAGATCCTGGGAGTGAGGACTTGACCTTGTCTTCTTCAGGGACACAGTTTGGCCCACTAAAAACATGTTGCTGAATCACAGAAACAGGCCACTCCACACCCCTTCTAGTTTGTCTCACAGAGATCACCCCAGTTAGGACCGAGCCATTTATTCTCTCATGTCCTGAATATAATGCTTTGCCTTTGAGTTCCTGAAGCAGAACCACAGGCAAGTGCTGTAATCCTGCCCAACATCTGTGCTGATCAAATGCACTGGATCCTGGGCTGGGGAGGGCCCAGGGGATTATGGCGGGAAAGGGCGGAGAAGCTAAACGTCAAGTCCTGCCCTGTCCCTGAAGCAAGAGCAACTCTGTCCCTGCTGCCATCCCTGCGCCACAGTCGGGCTGGTTTCCAGGTCCCTGTTTGGCCCATGAGGAATGGTGGACTAGGTGTAACAATTGCATGTCTTTCTCTGTTCGGTCTTTTTTAAGTTACAGGAGTGGAGCACATTCCATGGAAACAAGAGGTCAGCCTCCAAGCACTGTGCACACAAGCGTATGTGCAGCTCCTTGCACGCAGCTGCTTGTATAGCTTATATAAAGATGTAGGGGACACAGAGTGTGACCATCCCATACTTTATTTATCTGCCTGCTTCTCACAGATACTCGGTGGTTGTCATTCTCACTGGCAGTATGGTAGCCATTGTCAGTTCTAGCTAGTGAGAGGATGATCACACCGGCCTCAGGTGCCTCAGCCCCCAGCCCTGGGGGGCTCCTTTGCTCAGAGGTGCTGTGACCACATGGGAACCCCAGGGGCCAGTGTTTTCAAGTGAAGACTGCTGATCTGCTCCTCCCTGTCTGTGTTCTTGGCCAACAGTCCTTTGAACACCCAGAACTGAATGCCTACTGCTAGAAAGCCCTGCCATGCTGGCAGCCCTTTAGTCTAGCCTGTCACTCCTCTTCTGTTTGCTCCCCCATCCCAGCCTTGGCAGCTGTCTCAGGACCTGGGGCCTCCGCACCGGACACATGAGCCTTCAGGATCATTCCCCAGGCTTCTGTCTCACACTTGCAACTCAGAGGAGCGGTTTTGCTTCCCTCCCTCTCTCTCTCTCTCTCTCTCGAGAATTTTATTTTTAGAGAGAGGTAAAGGGAGGGAGAAACACAGGGAGAGAAACGTTAATGTGAGAGAAGAACATCGGTCGCTTGCTTCTTTTACATGCCCTGACTGGGGATTGAACCAGTGACTTTTTGCTTTGCGGGATGACGCCCAACTGAGCCGCACCAACCAGGGCAAGGTCTGTCTTGACTGGTCAGTGCCCCTTTCCCGATCAGACAGAAGCACCTCCCTGTCTGTATCTGAGTTTCCTGCCTGGGATGCCACATAGGTGTGCATGGAGCCCACAGGAGTACCTCATCCTGCCTGCCTGTTTTGCCTATTTCGGTTTGAACTTGAAAAGGGAAGAGCACCCCAGCACGTAAAAGGAACTGAGTCTGAGGGAGGTTGATGCCGAGTCCTGGAGCCCCAGCTCAGTGCTCTTGGGGGCAGCATCCTGCCACCCTGAGCATGACCTCAGCCTTGCTGCCCCTTGAGCACCTCTGCCTTAAGGGCACGTTGCCCTGGAAGGTAGACTCTGATGGGGCCCTGGCTCCCTCACTCATCCAGGACTGTCCCGGGGTCTTCTCAGCTGGCCTGGACCTGACGGAAATGTGCGGGAAGAACCCCGCACACTATGCTGAGTACTGGAAGGCCATGCAGGAGCTGTGGTTGCGGCTGTACCTGTCGAACCTGGTGCTGATTGCTGCCATCAATGTGAGTGTCTCCACTCCCAAGTGGTCGTGCTGACTGTTTAGAAGCTGTGGGGGTGGGGAGGAGAGTGCAGATGTGGCCCTGACCTCAGGAAGCCCTCAGAGGGAAAGGGTGTCTTGGGGAGACCCTTAGACATGCACAGGTGAGCATGCCATTACAGATCACTGTGACGTGGTAACAGACAGGTGGGGGCCTCAGGCGTCAGCTCACTCACAGGTAGGGGCAGGGCCCAGGATCCAAGGGCCCATAGTTAACTTGGCCCAGTGACAGGGCTATACAGAGAGCAAGAATGGGGAATTGGATCCACATTTTGAAAATGTCACTTTGGCCTGACCTGGGGAAGGCAGGGACAGGTTGCTGAGGCAAGGTGCCGGAGCTAAGGCTCAGGAACTGGTGTGCCCTGAAGAGATGCAGTGACAACCTAAGAAAGGTGCAGGGAGGGCGGAGCCTGTTGGCAGGGAGGGGCAGTGGGGCTAGGTCACTCAGAGCTCACTCCTGCCATCAGGCCATTCCTCGGAACCCTTGCTCTCTGGAGTACTGTCGGGACCAGCACTAGCAGCCCCCAAAGGCTAGTGGTCTTACTTTCCCCGCAGGGAGCCAGCCCTGCCGGAGGCTGCCTGATCTCCCTTACCTGTGACTACCGGGTGCTGGCCGACAACCCCAAATATGTCATTGGGCTGAATGAGACCCTGCTGGGCATCGTTGCCCCTTTCTGGTAAGGCCAGGGACTGCACCCATACTCCACTTGGCCCAGGGATGAGCCAACCCACCTGGAAGCCCCCAGCCCCAGGTGAGTGGATGTTTGCATTCCAGGTTCCAAGATACCCTTATGAACACCATTGGGCACCGTGCCTCAGAGCACGCTCTGCAGCTGGGGAGTCTCTTCCCGCCGGCAGAGGCCCTTCAGGTGGGCATGGTGGACAAGGTGGTGCCTGAGGACCAGGTGCAGAGCACAGCACTGTCAGTGATGGCCCAGTGGTTGTCCATTCCAGGTGAGGAGCACAGGGAGGGACAGCCGCTCTGGGTAGTGGTGGGCGAGCAAAGCCTCCTTCCCTCCTCTGGGACCAGAACGTTCTGTAAAAATGCACTGTACAAGCTGAGAACATGCGCACTGAGTGTGCTGGGGACTGCTTAAAACAACAGGAATGCATTCTCTCAGTGTGGAGACCAGAAGTCCAAAATCAAGTTGTAGGTAGGGCCAAGCTCACTCTAGAGACTCTGGAGGAGGCTCATTTCTGCCTCTCCCACTTTCTGGTGGCTCCAGGCCTCCTTTGGCTTGTCGTCTCATCTCTGATTTCATTTCACATGGTCTCCTTCATCTCAGATCTCCTCCTTTCTCCTACATGGACACTTGTCATTAGATTTGGGGCCCACCCTGAATCCAGGGTGACCTCATTTTAATTATATCTGCCGAGACCCTCTTCCAAATAAGGCCACATGCACTGGTTCTAGGAGGTGGTTAAGATTTTCACATACCTTTTTGGGATACACTGTTCAACCCACTACACAGACCACTGGAAACAGCCTACATGTCTGTGTATAGAAATAGGGGTGACTATATAGAGACGTGGATCAGCAGAGCATCTATGAAAAGCCAGGTGGATTTCTGGCTTTGTAGTTACACGGTCTCTGCCACAACCATGGCAGGAAGGCAGCCACAGAGTACGTGAACTAACGAGTGCGTCAGTGTTCTGATAAAACATCACACATCACAACATGTTATCCTTTTTTCAATTTTTTATTCAACTAAACTGTATAAAAATGTAAAAAGCATTCTCAGCTCATGGACCATGGGATGACCAAATACCATGCAGCCATTTATTATAAGAGGATATTGAGTGACTTGGAAAATATTCTTGATAATACAGTTGAGTGAAAATGACAGGTTAAAAAGGCAGTCCTTACAGTATTAATTTGAAAGAAAGAAAGTGGGCACCCTGGCTGGTGTGGCTCAGTGGATTGAGCTCGGGCCTGCGAACCAAATGGTCGCTGGTTGATTCCCAGTCAGGGCACATGAGAGATAACCACACATTGATGTTTCTCTCCCTCTCCCCTTCCCCTCTGAAAATAAATTTTTTAAAATTATCTTTAAAAAAACTAAAAATCAGTAGGCAGTGAGAAGTAGGTGATTTTCATTTTCTTCTCTTTGCTTATTTGTATCTTCTAAGTTTTCTCCCAGCAATTCTGTTTGGGGATGTTGAGGATGATGCCACTGTCCCAGAGTGTGGGTTTTCACACGTGGGCCCCTTTTTCTTTAGACCATGCTCGACAGCTGACCAAGAACATGATGCGAAAGCCCACAGCAGACCGCTTGGTGAAACAACGTGACTCGGACATCCAGAACTTTGTCAGCTTTATCTCCAGAGACTCTATCCAGAAGTCCCTGCAGGTGTACCTAGGAAAGCTCAGAGAAAAGAAAGGCTAACAGCTAGGCTGCCGACACAGGGTTTAGCCATCTGCACCCTTCTGGAGGGGCCCCTCTGGTCCCAAAAGGTTTTACTTTAAACAGGCTATTTCCTAATTTCAAAATCCTTTCAGCTCTTTGATTTGCTGGTCTTCCCAGGAGGCCCTGTTTCTTGTAGCCAGGGTCCCAAGGATCCCTCCACATGTGAGTGCCTTTACTGCCTGGCCGGTGGGCAGAATGGGATTGGCAGGCAGCTTCTGGATTTGGGAATTATGAACTGGCAGGTGGACCCAATCTGAGCTTTGGGAGGTTACCACTGAGTGTCTCCTTTCCCAAAGAACTGTGAATAAAGTCCTTGGGTCACCCCATTCCTGGCCCCATGCTACCTGGTTGCTGACGGTCATGGGCCCTGCTGGTCCACACAAGACCCCTCTGCACTCACCCCCATTAGGGAAAAACACTTTGGCCACCACATCTATTCATTCAGATGGAGTTGTGACAATTTAGAGAAATCGGGGGGACTTGAGGGATGAAGGAAGCATTACTTGAGAGGGATTCTATGTTATGAGTGGCCTAGATCTTCTTTTAGGAAGATTTGTTGGGAAAAACGCGTTCACACTTTTGATACAAAGGCTTCTCCCATACAATTCAGGGCAGTTACCAAATCCTGCCAAGATGTTTCAAAAACTGAAAACCTCATCAGGCCTCTGTCAGTTATGCTGTGTATCCTACCTCTGCTTGTTCCTGATCCTCAGATCATGGGTTACTTGGGACACAGGCCACTGCCCTGCGAGACAAGTCCTACCCAGGAAGGCACCATTGAGAGGCTGTACCACCAACAGTTGTGCAGGTCCTGTGGGCAGGACCCTAAGCCAACCCTGCAGTGATGGACAGGACACCTGACATAGACCGGTGCCTGAGGATGACTGCAGGAGGGAGGTTGGCCTTTCAAGACAACACTATTCTTGTGTGAGTGCTGATCCCCACTCACTCAGTACAACAGCCTGGAGGTGGTAGTTCCCAGCGGGACGTAAAATGTTCAGGCTAGGCTATAGGACCAAGGTTGTGCCACAGGGAGATAGTCGTAAGAAAGGAAGGACATGGAGGCCTCTGAACCAGCCTGTCTGTGGTCCTGGACAAGTACTCATTTATTGAGTAGAGCTGTGCCCAGTGTTTCAGGGTACTCCTCACACCCCGGTGAGGTAGGTGGTGGTAGGCCCTTTTACAGATGGGGACACGGGCTCAGAGTGGTCCTATAACATGTCAATGGCCACCTGTCCGGGCCCAGTTGACCCTGCCCTGCAGACTTCCTGGGGGCAGGCCAGCTACCCTGAAGGGGCCTTGTGGGGCTGTACCTCGTGGCCACTCTGCAGGCAGCATGCCCTGGCCAGTTCTCAGGACTGTCAGTGGCATTTGAGAGTCACCTCCACAGGAAAATGGTCACTGATGGCAAGGGCCTGGAAGGAAAGAGGGCCCAGTCTCAGAGGACCTGCTGGGCTTCACCTCAGAGAACTGCCCCCCATCTGGGATAAAGCCCACTGGGTTTCTACAAACCACGATCTGCAGAAGCAGGTCAATGAGGCCTGAGATGTCCACCCCTACTGCTGCCCACAGGTAGGGTAGGAGCACAGACTTAGGAGAGGCAAAGAACAGACTCGAGGGGCCTTTTCTAAAACGGGCAGGGAGGGGAGTGCCAGGTGCACTGAAGCTGAGCCTGGCCCTGGGCAGGGGGCAGCAGGCTCCTCCCGTCTGCCAGCGCAGAGTGGCCTGGGGACCCCCCCGCCCCTCTGGGGCTCAGCACTCACCTCAGTCTGGTCCAGGCCGTATACCTCCTGGAAATCGTGCACAGCAGCTGACTGGGGCTTCAGGCTCCTGCGCAGGCGGGCGCCACAGACGACAATACGATCGTAGGCACAGTCTGAGTTGCCCACCGTGGTGTCCGCACTGTCTGGAATGAGCCACTTGAAGACCTCGCTGCTGCGCAGACGAATGGCCGCCCAGTCCTGTTCCCGCACATAGCTGCAGTCGGCGTTGAAGTCGCCCAGGAACAGCATGTCCTGCGGAGTATCCGGATCTGAGCCAACCCAGCGAGTCCATGCCTCTATGGCTGCCCCCACCCCCCACCGGGGCACGTCTGCTGGACCCAGGACTGTGTGGGCGCAGGGCTTACATCAGTGCCCCACTTGTCGATCACGTCCAGGTACACATCGTAGAGCGCGTCGATCTCTGCTACTGCGTGGTGTGGCGCAGCGTGCAGTGGAACCAGCACCAACTCCTTAGCAGCTGCTGGAGAGGTTAGATGTCAGAGGCGGGGTGGGGCCTGAAGGAGGGGCGGAGTCTGCGAGGGATGGGGGCCGGGGTGAGGGGCGTCTCACCGGAGCCAGGGATTGAGAATTTGACCACGAAAGGTTCTCGACTGAAGGTGTCCTCTGGGTCCGGGTACTGGTACGTGTCTACGATCGACACCGCATCCTTTCTAGATGTAGAGGGTGGGTGGGTATGCTGAGCCGGCCACCTCCTACCCAGCACGCCGCATCCCCGCCCCTCACCTATAAACGAACAGGTACATTTCCTTGTACTGGTCCCGCCCCAGGGGCTCACTGCTCACGAAGCTGTATTCGTGACTGGACACACTGCGGAGACACGGGCCAAGTCCTGGGTCAAGGCAGCGCACAGAGGCCTGGGATGCCAGATGAAGCTCCCGGCGCTGGGCCCTGCCCGCCACACCTGTTAACCTGCTCCATGAGCGCAGAGACTGCGCTCAGATCCGGGTCTCGCACCTCCTGCACGAGCATGATGTCATAGCCAGCCAGGATCTGGGGAGGGGACCAGAGAGGCGGGGTCACGCACCACAAGTTCTCTGGCGGATCCCAGTGGCAGCCCCGGGCCCCCCCCCCACCCCCCCCCCACCCCCACCCCGCGGCCTCACTTGCGCAATGATGCTGCCACAAGCCGAATCTGACACTTTGCTGTCTCCGAAACTCTGGATGTTAAAGGCTCCAATGCGCAGCGCCACTGCCGTGGTGGCCCCCAGAGCCCAGAGCACGGATAGTAGGGCCCAGGGCCGGTCCATTTCACAGAGCAAGTAGGCTGGGAGGGGCAGACAAGAGCGTGGACCCGGAGTCAGACACACGCAGCCACCTCTCCCTTTCCCCTATGCCAGGGCCTGGCAGGGTATGCTGCCCAGTGATGGCTGGTGCCAAGGCGCAACCTCCCCACTGCGTTCTCCAGGTCTCTCAGGGTTGTGCGCTGGGCTCACAGACCTCCTCCTAAGCTGTCAGGAACTGAAGTCCAAATAGACCCCATTAATCCAGCCCCAGACTCAGCCCAGCTCCCAGACTCACCTGAGATGTGAATGGCGTTGTATCAGAGGCTCAGGATTTGGGCCCAGGTAGGGTTCTGAGGTCCAGGATGGGAGTGTGTCTGTGGTTCCAGGCAGACTTCAAGGGCTTTGTCTGACAACAGGTCTGATGCCTGCCCACAGGCAGGTATTTGAGGCCCTGGTCCAGGGAGGGGCCAGACTGCACTGGGTCCCGCCCCCTCCAGAGTTGGTGCCAGAACTCCTGGCTCCCATTTCCACAGAGCCCCAGAGGGCAAGGCAACAGGTTATCTACCCTGAAGACTGCTCCAGCCCTGGGGTCTGTCAGAATCGGGACTCTGAAGCCCTTGACACCACTCCAAGAGCTGTGTGAGAGGCATGGGGAAGACAGCCAGCCATGACCATGGTCCAGGCCTTGTTCTTGTCCCCACTCCCCAGAAACTAGGTCACCCAGAACCTCCCTCCTGGAGTTGTGCCCCCTCAGGAAAACTAAGGCAGCACAATCAAGAAAGACCAGCCCCCCCTGGAAAGAAGTATTCCAAGTCATAAAAGGCAAGGACCTACATCCAAGATTGCTCTATCTAGCAAAGCTTTCATTTAGAATGGAAGGGCAGATAAAGTGCTTCTCAGATAAGGTCAAGTTAAAGGAGTTCATCACCAAGCCTTTATTTTATGAAATGTTAAAGGGACTTATCTAAGAAAAAGATAAACATGTACAGTAAAATGACAGCAAACTCACAATTATTAACCACCACACCTAAAACAAAAACAAACAACTGGAACAGGAACAGAACCACAGAAATGGAGATCACATGGAGGGTTAGCAACAGGGGAGTGGGAGAGGGAGAGAGGGGGAGAAGGTACAGAGAATAAGTACCATAGATGGTAGGTAGAAAATAGGGGGAGGGCAAGAATGGTATAGGAAATGTAGAAGCTAAAGAACTTATGGCACATGGACATGAATTAAAGGGGGGATTGTGGGTGGAAGAGGGTGTGCAGGGTGGAGGGGAGTGAATGGGGGGGATGGGACAACTGTAATAACATAATAAATAAAATATATTAAAAAAAAGACCAGCCCCCTTCTTAAGCCCACATCTGCTGCTGCTCATAAACATCATCAGAGGCTCCTGGTCTCCTGGCCTCAGTCCCCTGCCCCAGGGCACCACATCAGGCCTCAGGAAACTGGGGCACAGATCCAGTGGGCAGGGCAGCAGCAGGGGCTGCCTGTCCACATGCCAGTGACACCCACATGCTGCCAAGGTGTCACCAGCCCCATCAGGAGCACTGGGCAGGGTGGCCTGGGCAGGCAGTTGCTGCCAGCGGGGAGGCGCCCAGGGCAGTGGCACCAGTGTCCAAGGATCACTACTACATCAGAGTGGGTTTTCATGTTTTATTGTAAAGCAACAAAAAATATGTATTTACACTCCCACATATCTGAATTCTGTGCCCCATGTTTTCCATACTAGACCAGGCAGAAGTGGCTAGGGCACTCAGGGTCCTTGCCCCAGACCCACCCCAGTCCAGCAGGACCCCACAGGTGCCCATGTTAAACGATGACGGTCTGCACCTCGAGCTGGCCCTCTGGCGAGGCAATGACCAGCTCACCCGCGTGCTCCAGGATCTCAATGTCCTCTGACGAAACCATGGTCACAGTAGCCTGCTCCGCACCATCTGTTCCCGCACGGGCAGTGAGTACAGTGCCCTCACTGATGGCTGAGGCCAGCGTCATGGCCACCTGCTCTGTCAGACTCTCAGGGGTGGCGATGGTAATGGTGTCAGCAGCAGCCACTTCTGGACCCAGCCCCGCCTCCTGGTCCATGGTCACATTCTGCACGATGATTTGGTGTCCTGCGCTGGCCTGGTGCACGATCTGCTGCACCACCTTCATGATGTGGCTGTCCACCTGTGGGTGGCTCACAGCTCAGCCCACGAGTCTGGGCGAGGGCACCAGGCCACCCCTTCCCCCAGTCCCTCACCTCTGTCTGGGTGCCCTCGATGATCTCTGTGGCTTCACTGGTCTCTGCATCATCCGAGGTGGCCTGTACAGAGGATCAGAGATCAGCCTTGCCTGCCCTCGGGCCCCAGCCCAGCCCAGCCCAGCCCAACACTCACCTCAATGATGTACTCCTGGGTGTCAGCCACCACGGATGAGAACTCGACCAACACAGTGTGCGGGTCCTCGCCAAGGACAGTGGCAGCTGAGGTGGGGCTCTCCTCAGACACCAGCAGCTCCTCCACCTCCAGCAGGCAGCCACCTGAGATGAGGAGCTCAGTCAGGGCTGGGCAGGACTGGCCAGGGCTGCCCTCCTGCCTCCCCTCACTCCTGCCTGCCAGCCCCCAACCTTTTGTGCGCAGGTGCCGGTTCAGCGTGCCATGCTCAGCGAAGCCACGGCCACACTTGTAGCACTTGAAAGGCTTCTCGCCTGTGTGGTGCCTAACGTGCCGCACCAGCGAGCCCTTCTCCCGGAAGCCTCGGCTGCAAAACGGGCACACATGCGGCTTCTCCTCCAGGTGTGTCCGAAAGTGCACCTGCTGGGCATTCTGAGGAGACCCACTGTTAGGATTGACCTGGCCTCAGCCACAGCTCAGACTGAGGCTTTCCCCACTGACCTCTAGGGTCAAGGAAGAGGTGGGAGTCATAGGCCAGTGGGGAGGGGCCAGGCCAACACTGAGCAGGCTGGGGGGGAAAGCAAGACAATGGAGAGCTAGGGAAGGAACAAGGGATGGATCTGGCCCAGGGAGTGGAGAGCTCAAGGATGGGAACAAAGGTCAAAGGTCAGGGCTGGAAGATCCACCTTGGTCTTGTAGCGCTTGCCACACTCGGGACAAGGATAGGGTCGCTCATCTGAATGAACACGCCGGTGGCCCCGAACATGAGCAATGGTCTTGTAGAGTTTCCCACAGTCCCCACAGCGGAAACGGCGCTCGTGCACGTGCACCTCCTGGTGCTTCTTGAGCAGGTAGGCCTTGAGGAAGACCTTGCCACACTGCACACATGTGAACAGCTTCGGCCCTGGGGCCACACGCAATGTCAGACCAGGTCCAACCCCTGATGGCCCCACCCTGTCTGCTGCCTGTCCACCCACTGCCCAAGGGACCATCCTGGTCACCCACAGGCTATCCACTGCCCAGTGCCCCACCCTCCTGCCACCCACCTTCATGGTCCCTTTTGTGGGCCTCTAGGGTGGCTGCTGTTGGGAAGGTTTCACTGCACTGAGGGCACAGGTGGGTCCTGGGTACAGCTGAGGCCTCGTTGGCCACCTCCTGGGGGACCACAGCACGCCTTCAGTACCCACTGCAGGCTGGGCACCAGCAGTACCAAGGGCAGACCCATAGCACCCTCACCCTGATGGGCTGCATCACGGGCCCGGGGTAAACAGATCAGGGGACCAGGTCACTGCAGAAGCAGGGAGAACAGCAGGGAGGCTAGCAGCCAGGCCAGTGTGATAAAACAGCTTCATCTAAGGTGCAGCCCCCAGGAACAAGCTCAATGGCAGCGCAGGTACCTACTGTCTCCACCTGCTCCACCTCCAGCAGCGGCAGCTCTGGGGGACCATCTCCCAGGGCCTGGGGACTGGACATGGCGGGAGGGACTGGCTCCAGGGACCCCTCCTCCCCAGTGACCCGCTCAAGAACGATGCCAGAGTTCTGCATGGCCTGGTGCAGCAGGTTCTCCTGACTGTTGTCGCTGGAACAGGGAAGCTCCTTGGGAGCTGGGGGCTGCAGGGGAGGCGGAGGGAGGAAAGTTGGCCAGGAAGCTTGGCATGTGGCACCCACCCAAACCCACCACACAGGGCAGACCCAAGGGGCTGAGAGACCACTGTGCACAACCAATATATTCTCAGAAATGCCCCCGGGAGCTCCACAGCCCACTCCACCTAGCCTGGACTGCCCATCTTGCCCCTCCCTGCCCTTTGGTAGCCATTGGTCTCCCATCACCCATGCAACCAGTCAAAGCCAGGAAGGCAGGCCCAGGGCAGTCCTATTCCCACTGGAGCTAGTGCTCAGAGCAAAGCCTGGCACCGAGAAGACAGCGGCCATCCTCCCAGAAGACGCCCACCTCTGGGGCCAGGGCTTTCACGCCCAGAGGAAGCTCTTGCATCTGGACATGAACTTCGTGGATAACAGTGCCCTTGGCATCTGTCACTAAATGAATCACAGGCGATGTCTCCATGGTTTCACCTATCACTGATGATGACGTAATGGTCTCCACGGTGGAGGCGCCAGACCCTTTAAGGCAGAACCACAAAACTCCTTGAAGAAACCCCCCCTAACAAAGGCAGCTCCAGGGTGGGGACATGGAGCCCTCACCATGCTGACCTGCAGGTGCGTCCTCTTTGCCAACAATCACATCCTTGCTCATGCTGAATCGGATTTTTTCCGTGCACGGAGTGAGAGACTTGAGGTGCCGGGTCAGCGCACCTGACTCCCGGAAGCTCTTTCCACACTTGGCACATTTATAGGGGCGCTCATCTGTGGAATGGAGTCAGCTTTGGGTGGGGAAAGCAGGCCTGGAGCCACAGCCCCACCCCCCACCGGGATGCAGGGGTGCTCTATGCATCAAGCTAGCTCACCTGTGTGCCGCCGGTGGTGCCGAATGAGCGAGCCCTTGGTCCGGAAGGAGGCCCCGCACAGCTTGCACTCATGGTCCTTACGGCTGCTGTGGGTGACCATGTGGGCCTTGAGGATGCTACCCTGGGGGGAAGGGGCAGCGAGGCTCAGGCACTTCCCTGAGCAGGAGGCCTGGCCCCTGCTAGCTGGCACTGCCCTAGACCCGGGGCTCACCGTCTTGAAGGTCTTGTGACACAGCGCGCAGACGTAGCGGCCATCCTCATTCACCAGCAGCTTGACCTGGGCCTGCTCACCCTGCCCGGCCAGTTTGGGCCCCTGATGGTCAGGGCTGCCTGAGGCCTCTGCCATCTCGCTGTCACCCGGATCTGCCTCAGCAGCTACAATGACCTCTTTGATGTGACCACTGCCTGAAGAGAAGGGGGTTGGCCTGAGCCTCGGAATGCCATGGACCATACCACCTCCTGGGATCCCGGCCCAGAAGCACTGCTGGGATACGTTGAAGCTGCCTGGAGAAGCTCCAGGGCCCCACAATGTCCAGCAGGGAGACCATGGTGAGCAGACAGACACCCCTCCCTTAAGCCAAGAGGAGCATAGCACTAGATGTGCACAGGGGTCCTGCCACCTCTGAGGGCAATGGAGTGCCTGGTACAGAGACAGTGGACAGGCCGACAGAGCTCCCATTAAGAAGAAAATGCCTCCGGAGTTGCCCACTGGCATCTGCTTTGCAGCAGGCAGGTGAGGGACCCGGGCTGGAGTGAGTGCTCATGAGACACCTGGGACAGCCTGAGGTGTTCACGCCTCTTGTGAGTGTTGAAGAAATCTGACAATGTGTAAAGCTAAGCTGTAAACATTTCACAGCGTCTGTTCATAAAAATGACCGTGGGAAATGGCTGTGAAACCACTTCTTTGAAGCCTTCTCAATCAGGCTGGCACTGTGTTTTGACAAGCCATTCTCTCCAAACAGAAGGGAAGCACCCGACTCGGAAACAAAATGGGCATGTCTCGCCTGTGTGCTGGCGGGAACGCCTGATGCTTTATTTTTCCTTTACCCCAGAAGGAAACTTCCAAAAGAACAGGGACTTGAATTTAGATGTGGTACAGTAGACTGAAGAGTCAGAGAAGGGGGAACAAGCAAAACACAAGATTGTTTTCCAGAAAGAGGCAGGAGTGGGTATGCAACCCCCACGCAGCCCTGGCTGACCATGTGCCTGGCCCAGCAAGGACCAAGAACCCAGCCCTGGGATGCCAGCAGCTGGTGCTCTACGACTCTGGCCAACCCTAGGCTGTGGACCACTGAGCAGCTAACACCAAGGGGATGTTTGGGATACCCAGGATGGCTGCAAAGAGGGAAACTCCCAAGTGTGCAAGTCAGGAAGGGTGTACCCAGTGAGAAGCCCCCAGAACTGCCAGGCTGCAGGCAATGGGCAGGGTGGCAGGAAGGGACCTGACTGGACAGGCATCTAGAGACTGTAGATGCTGCCCACACTCAAGGAACTCGTTTTTCTTTTTCCTTGTTGTTTTTTTTTTAAGATTTTATTTATTTATTTTGAGAGAGAGAAGGGGGGGAGGGAGAGAGAGAGAGAGAGAGAGAGAGAAACATCAATGTGCGGTTGCTGGGGGTTCTGGCCTGCAACCCAGGAATGTACCCTGGCTGGGAATCGAACCTGGGACACTTTGGTTCCCAGCCCGCGCTCAATCCACTGAGCTACGCCAGCCAGGGTTTTTCTTTGTTTTTAATGTTGACACTATTACAGTTGTCCCCCATTTCCCTGCTTCTGCCCCCCCAACCCAGCTCCCACCACACCCCTGGCCTCCACCGCATTATTGTCTGTATCCATGGGCTATACACGTACGCATGCATGTCCTTTGGCTAATCTCTTCCAGCACTCTCCCCCATCTGAGATCTGTCAGTCCAGTAACTTGTTTTTCATGTGACACCACCCACCCCAGAAACCAAATCTAACACCAAGCCGGAGCACGGCCCCACCTCCCACACGCCAACATTCCTACCCCAGAGTAGCACCAGGTGCATATCCTTGTCCACAGGAATGCCAAGGGAAAAAATAGCAAGGAGACAAGGACAGGTCTCCCATCACCTCCCTGAGGCGGGGCCTTGACTGAACAGCCTGCTCTGAGGTTCCCCGCCCCCAGGTCTCCTCCACCACACCTTCTTCCTACCCCAGATGGTCTCAAGGGCTTCCCAAGGCCAAGTTCCACCTGTTTCCCAAACCTGATTCCTATCTAGTTGCTCACCCACTCATGCACCTGCCAAGGTCACTGCCTAGCACCAGACAACCACCATTTCCTTCCCAACTTCCCAATACATCAGGCCCAACCCAGCCTCCCTCCACTGCTGTGCACACACCCAGTCCCCAGCTCCCTCCACCTTCCCCAGCCCTGGGCTACCCTTTGCATGGTTCCCCCTGCGTGCTGGCCTGTCTCCAATTAATGAATGTGTGAGCCAACCCAGACCTCTCAACAATCCCTCCCCTATTGCATATTGGGAAGCAGGCAGTTTAACTTAAAATAAGCCATCAAAGAGACTGACTTGGCGTTGTATGCTCATAAAAGCCTTGTGAGAACCAAGGCAGGAATCGCTACCCCACGCGGGAGGGGGTGAGCACTGGGGAGGTGAAGGCCAGGGTCAGGCAGCAGGCCAGGGCCAAGCTGGAGCAGCAGGTGCATCCCGTGCACACCCCACCCCGCACCTCCAGAGCCAACAATCACAGGAACCAACCAAAGAAAGGAAGCAGGAACCAAGGGGGTGGCAGAAAAGTGGGGAAGATTCTGGAAGGACAAAGGCAGAAACCGTCTAGGGAAGTAGCCAGAGAGCAGTAGACACTTCAGGCTGAAAGCCATGAGTAGACAGCCCCGGTGGGGCCAGCTTACCAACAATATCAGGCGTGTGGCTGATGTCCGCTGTCAGAGCAGCTGCCTCCACAACAATGTGGGCCAATGTGATGGGCTCCTCTGGGCTTGCAGCTGCTGGGACCACCTACCAATGGGGAACAGGGGACATAGGGGACTCATCTGCAGGGCTCCAGAGCTCCCTTGGTTTGGTGAGTGAGGGATTGGGTTTATGTCCATGTAGGATGGCTAGGGTGGAAGCTTTCATCTCCTGCAAGAGGACTACTGCTCTGAGCCCGACTCCCAGCCTGGCCCAGGGTGTCAGCCCCATCACTCTAACTCCTCTGGCCACTGAGGAGCGTGGAGCACCAAGGACCCTCAGGGAGGACACCAGAAGGAAGTGATCACAGTTTCAGCTCAAAGCTCAGCTGGCTGTGCAGGAATAAAGGGGATGAAGGTAAGTACCCTATACCCACCAGCCCAGTCTCCGCCATGGGTCAAAGGGCAGGTAGAGCACGGGGTCAGAGTGAGACAACTCTGAGCCTACTGTCCTCTAGGCTACTCCCCATGGTGATCTGAGGCAAATGACTTCTCTCGGAGTCTCCTTTCCCACCTCCCTATGAGGGTGACAACAGTGCCCACCATGCAGGGGCGCTATGGACCTTAACTGTGTGTGTATAGCCCCATGGGGCACAACACAGTTGACCATTTTTGTGATGGGCTGGTGAAATGCACTAAGTCACACTTCATTTGTAAGATCCCCAGGACCTATGTGTACAGGACAGCAGACTAACCAAAAGTACAAAAGCCACCATGATACCCCTAAGCCAAGACAGACCCTTGGGCTACAAGAAAGGAAGGACCCCAGGCCCCAACTACCCATGCTTCGGCCAGAGGTGGCTGGGCCATCCAGGAAGCCCCAGAGCACCACCAGGCTCTTGATGGTAGTAGGGTCCAGATCCTTCCTCACCCAAAATCAGATGCCTGCCCACCCCAGTGTCATAGGGAACCAGATGCAAAGGTCTGTCCCAGCATACCACCTCCTCCTCCTGCAGCTGCCAGGGGAGCCCAAACAGGAGGGGAGCACACCCATGCATGTACACGGGTGCCGGGCTCACCTCCTGGTCCAGCAGCGCAGCGGCCACAGGGGTGGCAGGCAGGGCCTCCTGGGAAACCCGCTGGCAGACCTTCTGGAGCTTGTGCTGAACAAAGTCCTCCAGGGCGGTGAACTCCGCCTGGCAGCGGCCGCATCTGTGCACATCATCCTCATCTGTAACAAGCCTGAGGTCAGTGGGGCTGGGGAGGGCCTCCAGCCCCAGGCCAAATAATACCCAAGGGTAGCATCAAAACCAGAGGCACCTGCCCTGGCCCTCCTAGAGGTGCTGAGAACACTCTCAGGGGCCCAAGGTGCAAGCCCCCATCCCTTGGAGGTGTGCACAAGCAGCACCTACCAAGGGAGCAGCACTGAATAGAGGTGAGCCCCGACTGTACACTTAGGCTGCAGGGATCCACTGAGGCTGCTGTGCCCAACGGCCCCACCTCAGAGATGAGGCAGGGAAGGCCCAGAGAGTAGTTAGAAGGCAGAGGGATTTGTCGAACAGTTTGGGGACAGTGGCTTATAGGGTTTGCATGTGCCCTTGGGCACCTCAGTGACTATAGCTGGGTCTGTTTCCTTGTCTGTAAAATGGGCAAACCCAATGCAGGGTATAGTGGAGGAGGAAGGGGTGCTGGTGCCCACAGAGCCCTGGCTAAGAGGCAGACCCTTGGGAAACGCAGAAGAGAGAGTGCCTTGACCCATAACCACTCTTCTCTCACTCTGACTTCGTGCTTCCTTGGTTCCAACAGGGAGCATCTCCCTGCTCTGGCAAAGATGCCCATGATGGACCTTCTCAGAGGGGCTCCACGCTTTAGGGTCATAGTAACTGAGCCCTTCACCACCTGGGCTGACCAGCCAGTGCCTGCCCCTCCTGCTTACTGAGTCCCTACCATGTTCCAGGCACCTCACTGGGGATGTCACCGAATCTAGACAGCACCCTGGGAAAATGGAGATGACTATTTCCACTCTCGGAAAACAACTTGAGGTTCAAGGCCACCCAGCTGGTAACTGTTGGGGCCAGAAACCTGAACCTGAGAGCCTACTCCAGACACCCCACTGTTTATTCAAAGGGATGGAGAGATATTCCTTCTGCTTCTATAAAGTCCGCCAGTTCCCACCACCTCACATGCAGTCCCACATTAAGATCAAAGCCAGGCCTGGCTCACAGGAGAGCAGTCAATGTCTGTTGAATTAATGGGCAAACAAAGGGCCAAACCATAGCCAAGACTCGCCTACAGGCCCCCTGATAAGGAGGGCAGTCCCAACCAGATGGCTCACCGTCACAAGTCAAGCACTGAAGTGACTGACACCCTTTTAAACTTCCCAGCCCACTCACTGAGTTTGACTCAGCACCAGGGGGTTGCTGTTGAAGGAACTCTGCCCCAGAAGGGGATACACCCAACTGCTACACTGAGACAAGGCCATGGGCAAGCCCAGCAGGGAACAGCAACCTCCTAAGAGATCCCCCTTGAAGCCTACCCTATCCCCAGTGGTACTGCCCCTTCCCAAGCTGGAATAAGGAGTAAGAAAAAACTGTACAGAGAATATGAATGCTATGGGGACTAAGACCACCAACCCAGTATCACTAGCTAACCGCCTCCTGTCTGGCCCAGTCTACAGCCTCATGGGACAAGCTCAGTGGGCAGAGACCATAGTTCAATTTCCAAAACCTACGTCCCTGTGAATGAGCCCTCGGTGTGACCCAGCACTGTTCAGAGTGATTTACAGGCTCTACTTATTCTCACTCTGTCCTAAGAGAAGAAAGGACACAGAGGTTAAGGGAGCGTGTTGAGCTGTCACATAGTCCTGACATCCAATCCAGCTCTTGCTACTTACTAGCTGGGCACCTGGTCACTTTCACATTTTTGAATCTAGATATTCCTCACCTACAAAATGGGAATAATAATAATAGGGTCCAGGTTTGGTTTGAGGAGAAAAAAACTAATTCAGGTTAAGCGCTTGATACAATTTATCAGCAGCAGCATCTCCATTTTTTTTTTTTTAAACAGGAAACAGAGACTCAGAGAGGTGTGTGGTCACCTGCCCAGGATCAAATAGCTAGAGAGTGGCCGGTCTGGGACCGTGCCCGCAGGCTGGCTGCAGTGCGCCGACTCTCCTCCCCGGCAGCCTGGACAGAACCCAAATCCTAGAGAAACCCGAGGCCCTGTCCTCCTGGAGCCTCCAGCCACACTCTAGCCGGGGACCTAGCAGCCCGTCAGGTCCCGTAGAAGTGGACCCCCAAAGGAAAGCACAGCCATGCCCAGACAGCAAGACAGAGAGAGGCCAGACTAGGGGCCTAAGAGGACAGGGTTGGCGGTGGAGGCGTTCGCGGAGGTCTCTACACAGACAGCCCCAGAGGCTGGGGCAAATGAGTATCCATGAGTGGGCATCGACCGGGTCCCACGGGGCTGACTGGAGCCCCGCAAGTGAGGCCCGAAGAGTCTGAGGAAACCAGAGGCTCGTGGAGGGCTCTGAGGGGTCCCATAAAGAGCCGGGAGATCCGTAAAGAATCCGGGTCTGGGCAAGTCAGTAGCGTCCGCAGCTCAGGTCATCGGAGCCTCCGCCTGCCCTGGGATGAGCAGCCACCATCCCGGCCGCGCCCCGCCCCATCCGGCCCTGTTACCTTCCTCGTTAAAGGGCGCCGGGAGGCCGAGGAAGCCGGCAGGGGCCAAGGCCGCCGACGCCGACGCCGTCGCGACCCCGCCCTCGCCCGCTTCCCGCCTGGCTTCGGCCGGAGCTTCTGCCGTATGGGCGGCCGTCACCCGCACTGCCATCGCGCCCTCCATGTCGCAACGCGCCGCAGGAAGATGGCGGATTTACGACCGTGTCGTCATAACAACGGGCCGCGCCAGAGCGAGAGAGAACGTAGTAGGACGGCGAGGTGAGGGCGGGGTGAGTTTGATGGACAGGTGGTGGGGCGGAACTTATACCGAAAGGTGATGGGCGAAGCTTCTTACAGGGGCGTGGTTACGGTGGAGCGGACTGACAAGTGGCGGGGCGGGTCCAGAGGAGGGCATTGGGACTTGGCTTAGCTGGGCGGTGCAAAAGAAACGGAAGGCTGGGGCGAGGCCGGGAGAGGCCGGGCTGGGTTCCGGAAGTTGCATCAAGGAGCGAGAGCTGGAGGACGGGTCTGAGGCGGAACAGTGGCGCCACTCAGCCATCTTTGAGAGGGTACCTTAGGCATCAGGCGAGCCGCCGGATTCCGAGCTGGAGTAGACCGCTGCTGCGACACCGCTGCAGCTCGGACCGGCAGTGTGGTACCCTCCGTCTATCGACCCCCCTCAGATGTCAGAACCTCTCTTGGTGGTTTCCCGGGTCATGGGAGAAAAATCGAGTTTGGGATGGCTCACGCATAGGTAGCTTCACTAAGCCTTTTATTTTGTATATTTTTAAAGTTTGGTAAATACACATAAAATTTATCATTAGTGACATTTAGAACATTCACAATGTTGTGCACCCATCACCACCATCAAGTTTCAGAACTTCGTGGTCATTTTAAAAGAAAACCTGTACCCAATTAGCAGTCACTCCCCATTCTCCCCTCACCCCAGCCCCTGGTAACCACTTTCTGTTTGGATGGACTTACCATGTCTGGACATTTCATATAAATAGAATTACACGTGGTCTTTTGCATCTGGGTTCTTTTGCTTAGCATGTCTTCGAGGTTCATCTAGGTTTTAGCATGTATCAGTACTTCATTCCTGAAGCAGGATAGTAAAAAGTTAGGAAAATTCCTTGGTAAGTGGAATGGGGAGACTGAGACAGGTGAACAAACTGAAAGCAATTTACAGTCAGATACAGAAGGTCACCTCCCTAGAGATAACATCTAGGCCTCAGTTATATTTCAGCTCCAGTCCCATAAAAGCAACAAAAACAGGCTGGCAACTCCAGGCCCAGCTGCAGTAGCTAATGGAGCTGGGCCTGGCCCTGGTGCTGACCAATCAGGGGAGACCACAACCCTAAAAGGGCACACCTGGAAAAGCTGATGAACATTTTATTGAGATAGCTCCTAAACTCAAAAACCCAAGACCCAGCTAGCCCTCGATCTCCCTCGGGGCAACACACCCACACCTTTCCCTTTCCCCTCTTCTGCCCCTACAGGCACGCATCTCCTAAACTCTAAGAGAATCTACGAGACATGCAGCCAGGAGAGCAAACAGCAATGGCAATTCATCTGGGCTAACCCTCTGAACTTGTCTGCAGGACCCCCTTATTCTCTGACTTCTCAGTGAGCGAAAGTAGCCCTTCCTAGTCTATCTCCTGTTGCTCCTTCTATCCTAGGCCCTTCCTTGTTTCATTGTCCCCAGCTTTAATAAAAGTGCTCTCATAGTCACCTGGACTCGTGAAATCTTTCTTGCACTTGTGAAGTCATGAATCCACATAATACAGGCTAGCCGTAGGCAGACCAGTCTGGGCCCAGTCCCCTTTCTGATAACAACTCCTTTTTGTGGCTAAATAATAATCCATTATATGGTTACATCACTTTATTCATTCATTACATTTGAGTTGTTTCCACCTTTTCTACTATGCCAGGGTAACGACGAAGTAGCTTTCTGCAAGGATCATGCTCACCATTGTAGGGTTTTAAGCAGAGCGGGTGACAGTCAGCCTTTCAGAAGTATCCCTCTGACTGCTGTGCACAAAAAGGACCTCGGGGCCACAACAGATACAGGAAGATTCTTGATGGATGGTTTCTGAGGAACAAACAGGAGAAGCAGGTGGTGGCTTGTGGAGCACATAGGATCTGGGAGGCTTCTGGGAAGGGAGGATCAGGAGGGCACCTCACTTGATCATGTGCTGAGGAGTAATAAGGAAGCTAGCTAGCATCAGAGAGGTATGGGGAAGCCTGAAACACACACCCCCACTCCGAAAACTGGTGTGGGGAAGAATTTCAAGGTCAGGACAGCTGGGTGTAGATGGACACGAGGAAGAGCTGGCCCAGGTAGACAGAGCGCTAGCCCTGCTATGTATTCCCAAGTCTGTGGAAATGAGTTGTCATGGGGCAGGCCAGAGCTCCTGACTGGTTACTCCCTGGGGATCAGGAAAGTTTATCCTGATGGCTGAGCCCTGGGCCCTGCCTCAGCTGGAGCCCAGGCAGACCAGCAGACACAGGAACAGACAGGCCTGAGCTCACCGAAAGCAGACTGGCCATGGAAAGGTAGGGAAGCCAGAGTTATGCTTCCCCCAGATAGCCTCTTTTTCACTCTGCCCTCAGCATGGGCTCCTATTGCACACTGTGTTCTACAGTCAATATTGTGTTGACTTTTTGTGGCCAGAGCCTGAGGGGAATGCCATCATCCTTTATGGTGGCTGTTCAGTCTCCATTCCCTGGATGTACTTTTATTTAACCAGTCCCATGTTGAATATTTAGGTTGCATACAATTTTTTTTTTTTGCCACTGGAGTCTTTTTTCAATGACCTCTTTTTTGGCTTGGCTCCTCAGAAGTGGTAATTTCTGTGAAAATTCAGATTCCATAGCTACTTCGATTTTCTAATACTATTCAAATCCAGCCCTGGCTGGTGTGGTTCAGTGGATTGAGTAATGACCTGTGAACCAAAGGGTCACTAGTTCAATTGCCAGTCAGGGCACGTGCCTGGATTGTGGGCTAGGTCCCCAGCAGGGGCTGTGTGAGAAGCAACAACACATTGATGTTCCTCTCCCTCTCTTTCTCCCTCCCTTCCCCTTCTCTAAAAATAAATAAATAAAATCTTTAAAAATAAAAAAGAAAGTTACAAAGATAGTAGAAAGGCCCTTGGACCTTAGGAGAGAGAGGGAGAGAGCTGCTGCCTAGAAAGACAAAGAGGGAGGAGAGGCACTGGCTGATGTGCTCCGGAAGAAAAGAGCAAACCCTGGAGAAAAGAAGGGGTGGGGAAAGCCGATGGCATGCTCCATAGAGAGAGGAGTCAGGGAGAATCTCAACAGAATATCAGCTTTCCTGTTGCGTCTCCTAAGTGTTGTGGTCTGCACTGATTGGCGCCAGGGAACGGAGTCATCAGTCATTGCAGTGGTCCTTGATCAGCCTTGGCATCGTTCTGCCTGGATTTACTGCTTTTCTGGGCCTGGAGCTGAAACACAGCTGAGGCCTAGATGACATCTCGAGGGGTTAATGCTTAACGTGGTGATCCTGCAAGGGCTTATATTGAATAGCTTTGTCATTGCTAGGCACTCAGGGTCATCCTGGTGACCCTTTGCATCTGGCCCATAGTTCCTGCTCTGCTCATGCCTACCTGTCTACTACAATAAGGAGAAACATACACCTACCCTGTGAACTAGCAATTCACTCCTAAGTATACACCCAAAAGAAGTATCTATGTCCACAAAAGCATGTGTAGGAACAAGAACGTTCATAATGGGCATTATTTACAGTAGCACCAAAGTGGAAACTACCCAAGTGTCCATCAACTGGAGAATACATCAACAGGGGTATAGTTTTCCGATGGCCCTCGTGGCAATTAAAACAGAACAAAAACACTTGGAAGCACTTCCAGACATTATATTGATCCAAAAAAGCAAGACCCAGAAGAGTACACGCAGTAAGACCTGTTTTAAAGATGGTCTAGAACAGGCAAAAGAGTCTATGATAGAAGTCGGAAGAGGTTGGGGACAGGATATCTACTATTGGCTGGATGGGGATGTGAGTGGCCTTTGTGGAGTGACGGGAATATTCTACATCTTGATCTGGGTTGTGTTTACACAGGTATACAGGTATGTAAAAATTCTATCAAGCTACACACTTAAGATTTATGTACTTTGCTGTACATTACAGCTCAATAAAAGATAATAACCTAACAATAACGATGATGGTTGAAACCAATTATTAAGTGCTGTGTTTTGGTCAGTGTCCTTCTCTTAGTCCCTAATCCCACTGCCTTGTATTATAGTTAATCATTCATAAAACCACTAAGGCAAAGGGAAAGCATTTTTGCAAAGGACTGGAAATAACGCAAGCATTGTTCGGAAGGACCCTCGAGCTGGCTCTCAGGACTGGCCATAATCTGTCCGCGCGCTGACACCGAGTCCAGTGCGGAGGGCACTGTCTGGCACAGCCCAAGCAAAGGTGAGGATGTGACTATCTCCCAAACGCGAGACCGCCTCGACCCTACAGCGTTCCTGCGGCGAGCCCCGCAATAGGGTAGAAAAACCAGCCAACCAATAGCATGCCCGGCCCATGGTCACTCGATTAAGGATTTCCGTCACCTAGGCTGACCGCGCGTCTCCAATGAGCGAGCTGTCCAAAGAGCTGTCCAATAAGCAGCGGCCTTACGTCCTGCGCCAGCTCTGCGGCCTCCCAGCGTTTCCGCAGTGAATGCTCCACTCTGAATGCCGGTTGGCTCAGTACCAGCCAATCATCGGAGCGTCCCTGGCCCCGCAGCCAATGGCCATCAGTTTCCCTGAGCCCGGCCGTGAAGGTTGGCGATGAGCTCCCGCAACCCGTGGTAGGCAAGGGTGGATTGGCGCAGTCAGTGCCCAATGGGTGGTGCGCGTGAGGTGGAGGGGGCCAATGAGCACGGCGTGGGCGGAGCGAGCACGGCGGCGGGCGTCTGTGAGGAGCGGCCGGTGACTGCCGGTGGCGGTGACGGTAGAGGGCGGCCATGGCACAGCCGGAGGCCGGCGGCGATGACCCTCGTTGCGTGCGGCTGAGCGCCGAGCGGGCCCAAGCGCTGCTGGCCGACGTGGACACGCTGCTGTTCGACTGCGACGGCGTGCTGTGGCGAGGTGAGACGGCCGTGCCTGGGGCGCCTGAGGCCCTAACGGCGCTGCGGGCCTGTGGCAAGCGCCTCGGCTTCATCACCAACAACAGCAGCAAGACCCGTGAGGCCTACACCGAGAAGCTGCGGCGCCTGGGCTTCGGTGGCCCCGCGGGACCCGGCGCCAATCTCGAGGTCTTTGGCACGGCCTACTGCACCGCGCTCTATCTGCGCCAGCGCCTGACCGGCGCCCCGGCTCCCAAGGCCTACGTGCTGGGCAGTGCGGCCCTGGCCGCGGAGCTGGAAGCCGTGGGCGTCGCCTGCGTGGGCGTGGGGCCGGATCCCCTGGAGGGCGACGGCCCTGGCGCCTGGCTGGACGCGCCACTGGAGCCCGACGTGCGTGCTGTCGTGGTGGGCTTCGACCCGCACTTCAGCTACATGAAGCTCACCAAAGCCGTGCGCTACCTGCAGCAGCCTAGCTGTCTCCTGGTGGGCACCAACATGGACAACCGGCTCCCGCTTGAGAACGGCCGCTTCATCGCGGGTCCGTGCGCCCTGGGGGCGGGAGGTTGGAGGTTGGGCGGCGGGCCCCTCCGGTCCTCTGACCCCGGGCGCTGTCCTCCCCTTCCCTCTCCGCCCCGCAGGTACAGGTTGTCTGGTCCGAGCCGTGGAGATGGCTGCCCAGCGCCAGGCCGACATCATAGGGAAGCCCAGCCGTTTCATCTTCGACTGCGTGTCCCAAGAGTACGGCATCAACCCTGAGCGCACCGTCATGGTGGGAGATCGCCTGGACACAGACATCCTTCTGGGTGTCAGCTGTGGCCTGAAGACCATCCTGACCCTCACCGGAGTGTCCACTCTGGAAGATGTGAAGAGTAATCAGGAAAGTGACTGCATGTCCAAGAGGAAAATGGTTCCTGACTTCTATGTTGACAGCATAGCCGACCTTTTGCCTGCCCTTCAAGGTTAAAGATTTAGCGTCTTTAAGCTACAGAATAAAAAAAAATTGAAAACCACTTAACCAAATTAATAGGTGAGGCTTAAGCTCTTGATTAGCTACGTGGCTTCAAAGAGTATACTTGGAGTTAAGCAAAAGCACTAGTTAACCTTGTAAGTAAATGTTTGGTGGGCGATTTTGTTAAAGACCTTTAAAATTTTAAGATGCACTTTTAAACTTGGAGGGCATTGTGGGGGCCCTGGGCCTTGGTTGCTGGTAGCAAAAGCAGGCTTTGCATCTGTCCTCGATTCAGATAACCTAAGGGCCTGCTGATGGGACTGAGATGTCACGTATTTTATTGAAAATTTCATTCAGGGATCAAGCCTCCTTGCAGGGCAAAGGGGAGAAGGGGCTGATTATTTTGACTGTCACAGGAAGCTTGTACACACCAACGCGTGGCCCCATTGGTGTGGTCATCAGTAGAGGAACCTGCTGATGTATTGCAGCTCCTGCCTTGCCTGCAGGGTGGGAGTGGAGGAGGGGGCTGCCCCTCGGTAGTGTCTCCCTGTTCTTGAGATGTGGGGTGCAGCCCTCACCATTACCCCACACTTCCTTAAAAACCACTCTGATTTCATAATTGAGTGTTGTGTTTCAAGTGCTCAGGGCTGCCACTCCTCATACATGATTGTGCAGCTCTGTGAACTCAGTCCAGATAAAGCTCGGCTTTCTCAAATGTGCATTTAAACCCAAATGACATGGACTGAGCATACTGGCTGAGAGGCCAGAAGGGCATGGATGCCTTTGCTGAACTTTGGCCTGCTGTTTAGGAAGCTCAGAGCAGCTTTATTACCAAAAATTATTTTTTTAAACCTTTGAACAACTTTATCAAGGGGTGGAATTTAATCTTAAGTGTGTTAATAGCTGTGCTCTGTCCTTAGGGCATAAATCCTACTGAAGAAATCTCAATACCCTGCAGCCAAGCCAGAAGCAGGGTTAAAGTCTTGTGCAGGCCAAGGAATGCCTCCTACCCAGGCTGCCCTCTGGGGAAGAAAAAGTCCCCAAGAACAGGAAAATGGTTCCTGCAAAGCATCCAATCTCTTCCTGTCCTGTACCCTTGGTTGGGTGGGGGTTAGGTACCAATCATCAATGAGGCCAACTGTGTTGGCCCTGTAGTCCTTTGTCAGTGGCTTTGTCAGTTGGAGGACTGGCCTTTTATGCCTGTTCCTTAAATTGCTGACCTTTGGCAACAGGCCTTATAAGCAGACTCTCCAGCTGCACTTGTAGGGTAGAGCCTGGGAAGCTGTTCCTTTGTGCCAGCTCCTTTCTGGTGCCTTGCCCTACAGCCAGTGGCGTCTGCTTACAGCCTGTGGCTTTTCGCCTAGCCCCAGAGTCACAGCACTCTTGCTCGTTCTCTAAGAGTTCTCAGAAATAGAGTATCCCAAGCCTTTAGCTCCTCTCAGGCCTGGAGTGTCTGGGGTTTGGACTTTGCCATGGGGAAACAGCAGCACCGACGGTGCCTATGAGGTTAGTGGTGCTGATGTTGACTCTGTGAGGTTAGCTCAAGGTGGGTCTTGAGATTGAGCAGGCCTGTCAGGGTGTTGTTGCACACAGCAGGTGCAGCAGCCAGCAACACCTTCCTCTTCTACGCCCCATCTCTGCCCTTATTGCACTGTGTGAACCCAAATGCATATTAAACTCTCAAACCCATGCTGACTAGCGTTCCTTGCTCTCGCCTTGACAGTAGCCTTCACACAAGAGGCTGCAGCTGTCTAGCCTTAGTGCGGGTGCGGGGTGGGAGGATTTAGTTGAAGGCCATTCTGGGATTTCAGTTCCAGAGCTAGAAACCAAAGCCCATCTCAGGCTCATTACAGAGGGACAGCTTCTGAAGATCCAGGAAAAATGAGGCACAAAGCAAAACCACAGTAGGAAAGGCCTCTTGGTTATGACACCCATATTTCGAAAGCTACCAGTCAGGGGAGCCCTGTTGCAGTCGAGTGGCCAGAGATGCAAGCTAGGAGCACAGTTCGGTTAGAGAAAACCATGCTGGATGGGGCAGGGGCCCGTGGGCACAAAGGCTGACCTAACCATCCCAGGGCATGAGGGAGGTTCAAGTAGGCTACCTTTGCCATCCTGGTCTCACACATGCTCTGTGGGATGCTAGGCAACCCATGCTGTATTGCGGGGGCTGGGAAATGGCCGGGGTACATGTGGAGGGAAGTACGGTGGCAGAGCAGAGTCCAATACCAATCTCATAGAACAAGCATTTATTGATGGTTTGCTGTGCCAGACCCTGTGCCCAGCCTTAGGAATCTGGAGATAACATTGTAGAAGACTAGAAACAGGCCTCTTTAGGAGAAATTAATCTATCTCCAACCAGACTAGAAAGTTACTCTTGCCAGGTCTGGGCTGCTCTCCCTGACATTCAGCAGGTTTTGATTTCCATGATGGCCAAGCTCTACACCCTCCCAGGCTAATGTGCTGTCTGGCTAGCACAGGCCAGGCATCAGGAGAGCCCAACACAGTGACAAGCACCACCCCACTCCCCAGATGGAGTTGGGGAGGGCGGTCCTGGCTCAGGTAGCTGGGCTGGGAAGGAGGGTCAGGAGGGGAGGGGGCCAGGACGGTTGCTTGGCTCATCAGCAGCTCCTGAAGTTTCCCTGGCTGACTCCAAGGGGCTGTAGACAATCACTGCATTGTCACCAGGGCTGCATCATGGAGCAGGGAAGCTGCTGTGCAGAGGACCCCAGGCCTGGGCCTGTCAGGGTGAGTGCCTCCCACCACCTAGTCCCCTCTCCTGCGACAAGACCTAGGGCATGCCCTGGACAGGGGATAAGAAGGCAGCACCCATCACCCACACCTCCTCAGCCCCTACTTTCCCTGAGCCAGTCTGCTCCCTGGTCTGTGGTCCAGGCCTCACTAACTGCAATGTGCCCCCAGGTGAAGACCAGGCCATGCCATGGGGGCTGGAGGGCCCTGGGCCTGCTGCTGCTGTTGCTGGCATTGGCCACTGCTGGGGCTGTGACTGGAGGGCTTCTTGGTTTCTCTCACAGCCCTCCCAAGGTGAGCCTCCTCAGGACCCAGGCAGGTGCAGGGGTGCAGGTGGGAAGGCGGAGGAGAGACCAGCAAACCCGGCCCTACAGTGGAACCAGGGCTCAGCTGAGCTGACAAGGGGAGGACAGTGGTGGAGAGGGTAGAAGCCTTGAAACAAAGCTGGAGGAAGAGGGTTGAAGGCTGCCTTAGCCTGCCCAGCTGAGCTCTGGCTTCCCACTCAGCCACTGCTGCAGATGTTCCATCTGACCCACCCGAGCTCCAGGGTGTACTGGTCCAACCAAACTGCGCAAGTGGACGTGGCCCAGAATGTGGCAACCATCAGGGTAACCCCAGCTCAGAGCAACCGCAGCTGGACAGTGCTGTTCGATGGGCAGAGCGTGAGTTGGCTAGTGGGGAGAAAGAGGGTCGCTGCCCAAAGGCATTCAGGTGGACCTGTCTTACCTGCCTGCCTGCCTGCCTCCCCAGGGCTGTGTCTGTTACCGCCCTGCGGAGCACCGGGCCTGCTTCCTCCACCCCATGGAACCCAGAGATCGCAAGACCCTGCAGCTTCTGGTGAACACCTCAAGGGTGAGCAGCCCCCGTACTCCCATGGCCAGGCTTCCCAGACCAGGGGCCAGACAAAGGGTCCTGTGTATAGCCTGGGCCCAGGGTGGGCTGAGGCTCTGGTTTCAGGGGAACAGAAGTTCTCTCTTCCCTTTGCTGAGGCTGCTGACAAGAGCTGAGGGCGGGGCTGGCACAGTACTGGCATGTCCAGGGATTCATTAGCCCTGCCCAGCCAAAGGCAGTGCAAGTGTCCCTGGCCCATGGCCCAATAGAGCCTTCTCTGCAGGCCCAGGGGTCTCACAGCCCAACCCAGGACACCTACTATGCCCAGGAGCTGCTGGCAGTTCTCGGGAGCCGTGAGGTGGACCCTGCCCAGGTGGGGGCTTCAGTGCGGCACTTTTGCACAAAGACCCCCATTTATTGGGCCCATCGAACAGAGGGTGAGTCGGGGTGGCTATATGGGGAGGCCTGGGCTCCCACGGATAGTCTGGGAGACGGGGAGGAGCTCTTTGGGGTTCACGGAGGCCCCTCCCTCCAGGGCCCCAGAGGCAGCGACTCATCTACCTATGCATCGACATCTGCTTCCCAAGCAACATCTGTGTGTCAGTCTGCTTTTATTACCTCCCAGATTGAGCCCCCATCCTGCCCAGCTCCATAGGCCAGCCAGCTGGCTGGCCCTGTCATCAGTACCATGGAAGGCAGCCACTGGTGGGGGCTAATAAACCCCTCCACCTGGTCATGATTGTGTTCTCTGTAGCCTTGGGACACGTAACGGGTGGGGAGGGGGTGGGAAGCACTGGCTTGGGGGTGGGCAGCAACCGGGCTGGGTTGGGTCAGCTCCCTGAGCCCTGTGCATCCAGATAAGTAACTAGGGGCTAAAAGAGCCCCCAGGTAGATCAGCCTGGCCAGTCTAGGCTGGCCAAGGGTATCAGGGAAAGTCAGTCAGGTGCAGCTAGCCTAGGCTGGTAGAGGTTAACCTGTGGGGGTTCTCTCTGACTCGGCAGCTGAACAGTCATATCTAGCCAGTGCCACCGGACAGCTGCCTGCAATCCCAAGGGGGCACAGGTTAGCCCAACACACTGTCATTGAAGGCCAAGCAGACCACGGCTTTCTGGTGGCCGCCGTACTCTCTCTTGATCTCTCCCGTCTCCACGCACCAGAGCCGGGCCAGGTTGTCAGAGGAAGCTGCAGGGAGGGAGGACATAGGCAGCAGCTCAGAATTTGGCCCCAGGCTGGGCCACTCTGGAGGCTGGCTTCCAAGTAGCAGGGAAGCTGAGCTAGTGGGGCAGAGAGGCAGGGTGGGTGGGACTCACCAGTGACAATGTACTGGGAATCCCCTGAGAAGGCGCAGCCCCACATCCAGCCTCGGGATGACTCTCCAGGGTTGCTGCTCTTGATGCTCAGCTCTGTCATCAGGGAGAAATTGGATGTCCTCCAAATCTTGCACGTCTGGTCAGCCGAGCAGGTGGCGAGGAGCCTAGGAGTGGGTATGAGCAGGTGGGGGTGTCATCAGCAGCCTCTCCAACCTGCACCCCCTGCTGTCCACCAAACAGGTCCCGACCCATCAAGCCCCCAGTCCCAAGGAGGTTCCTTCCTCCCCGAAGCCATCTGAGGGCTCCTAGCTCCCCAAGCCCCCCACACACGTGGAGTCTGGACTGAAGCGGCACTGTAGGGCATAGCGGGTGTGTGCTGGAATCTTGGTCTTGGGGATGAGCTGGGTCACCTCATCACCAATGCCCCCCGTCAGATTCCAGACGTAGCAGTTCCCCTGTTGGGTAGAAGGAAAGTCACGGGAGGACCAGAGCTTCCAGTATGACACGTGGGGAAAGATGCCCCAGCAGGCAGACTCAGGTGCAGGGGCCGCCATCCAACACTGTGGCTGTACACAGGGAGTCTGGGGGCTGGGGACATATAGCAGGCACATCTGGTCTTGCCTGCAGGGAGCACCAGGGAGGCCTGTCCCTAACCAAGGTCTGTACCTGGGGGGCCGAGAGCAGGAGGCTGTGTCTAACCTTCCTGGAGGGTGCTGCTGGCCAACAGGAATGTTAAGAATGAGATGAGAGGAGGGCAGCCCAGAAAGGGAACAGCAGCACAAAGGCTCAGAGGAGAGCAGTCTGGGGATGTTGTGAGACCAGTGATTTACTATACATTAAAGAGAGAAAATGAGTTCAGACAGGAGATCAGGAGCCAAACCACAGCATCTTGAGGCCATGGTAAGGAGCCATGATGCTAGGCCATAGCAGCATGGGATGTATGCAAGGGGACAATGGGATCAGGCTGGTACTGCTAAAAAATGCTCTGGTGGCAGAAAGAGAATGGATTGGAGGGGAGATCAGAGAGGAAGAAGGGAAGCCACAGAGGGGAGGAGACAAGGAAAACTTGGAGCCAGAAATGATGAGGTGGTAGGGACAGACTTGAAAAGTTCAGGAGATGGAATCTGCTGAGGGGGCTACAACAGGCAATGGCAGACATCAGCTTGGCTTTGGTGGCTGAGTTGGAGCAGGAGCCCAGGAGAGGGAAGTAGGACTGTGGGGGAGGGGGAGGGGCCCGGGGGACATCTGGGGAATAAGCCGACCTGTAGAGATTAAGGGAGATGAGGGAGCTGGTCTTCCCCACTGCACCCACCCCAGGACTCACAGTGCTATTGACTGCTGCCATGTAGCTGGCATCTGGGTCAATGTGGGCAGATGTGATGGAGACCTCAGGCTCAGGAATCAGCTGCTCATTGTGGTCAGTTTTCAAGTCCCAGATATGGATAGCGCCGCTCTGGTCACCTACAATTAGCTCTGCCTGGAGGGCAGGGGAGGTGAGGTAAGGCAGGATCCCTGCCTCCATAGCCCCAGGGTGTCCAGCCCTATGCCTACCCCTCACCTGGTTGGGATGTAGGCACACACAGTTAATGGGCGCATTCACCTGGAAGATCCGCTGACACTGCAGGTTGCGGGACCTTTGGGGTGGGAGACATACACTGCCTGCAGGGATATGCTGTTGGTGTCCTACCCAGATGCCCTTTCCCTGGGCATTTAGCCTGGTCCCTCTGCTGATAGGAGCTGCCCCACAGGAAATACTTGGGAGGTTTGGCACTCACAGGTAGCAACCTGAAGCCAATGACTGACAGAAGGGGCATAAAGGCCAGTCCCTTGCCTCAAGGCAGGACTTACTCTTTGATACTTTGTGTGGCTTTGTCCCTTCCCTAACCTGCTTTCCTCACTGCCCTCAATAAATCACCCACATAGGAAACCCTGTCTCAGCCTCTGCTGAGAGGAAACCCAGCTTAAGTCACTCTCCAGCCTGGCCCTCACCCCCACACATCCAGCACCCCCACAGATCCAGGCAGTAGGCCCCTCCTGCCTGGCACCCACACCTGAGGTCCCAGATTCGAGCAGTGCAGTCCTCCCCACCCGTGTACATCCAGCGGCCGTCCTCATGGAAGCCCACAGACGCAATGTTCTTATTGACCCCGTCATAGCTGATGATGGGGTTGGGGTTATTGGAGTTGAGGTCATACATGCGGATGTGCTGGTAACCTGTGGGCACAGGCCAAACTGAAGTTAGGCTGTGCCTAGATCAACCCATCAGAGATTAGGGATCAGGTTGAGGGTACAGGTACCTGCAGCAGCAATCATGCTGCGGTCAGGCGTGATCTCCAGCGCATTCACCTGCTATGTCTATTAAGGAGGATGACCAGCAGACTCCTGGGGTCAGGGGCCCTCAAGGCCACCACCGTATGGCTCAGCTGCTGTTATATGTTCCCGACCCAAGGCAAGACCTTTGTCCAAGCTGTAATCCCACCAGGGATCCTGTCCAGCACCACCCTGCCCACCTTCCCAGCAGAGGATACAGAATCCTGGTGCTGCACTGTGCGGGTGCAGATCCCACTGTGGGCCTGCCAAAACCGCACGGTGTGGTCATAGCCGGCAGTGGCCAAGATGACAGGGTCACTGCCCACTGTGCCTGGGGATGTGTTCATGTTGTGGCTTCTTGGAAGACTCAGCAGGGGTCAAAGTTCAGAGCATCTGAAAAAGAGAAAAGCGACTATACTCTTCATGTCCTGAATCAGCAATTTTCAACCTTTTTTTAAAAAAGATTTTATTTATTTTTAGAGAGGGGAAGAGGGGTAAAGAGATGGAGAGAAACATCGATGTGCAAGAGATACATTGACCAGTTGCCTCTCACATGCCCCCAACTGGGGACTTGGGCTATAACCCAGGCATGTGCCCTGACTGGGAATGGACCTGGCAGCGTTTCAGTTCACAGGCCAGCACTCAACCCACTGAGCCACACCGGCCAAAGCTTCAACCTTTTTCATCTCATGGCAAATATAAACTAATTATTAAAAGTCTGTGGTACACCGAAAAATGTATTTTTTGATTATCTGACAAACAATAGGTATAATTTTGATTCATTCACACTGGATGGCTATTTGTGTTGGTTCTTGTCATTTTTTTAAAATTTGACAATCTAAAGGAAAAAAGATCAGTGCACCTGACTAAATAGGTATTGCATGTTTTAGAAATTCTTGTGGCACACCAGTTGAAAATCCATGTCCTAAACAGATTATAGTTCTACTCGGGGAGCTGATATGTAAAATTCCCATTTTAGAGATGCAGAAAGTGAGGCTCAATGAGATTCAGGGACACACGTGGCGACCATCCAGCGACAGCCTCCCAGCTACAAGGCGTGTGCTACTTTCCGGCCGGCCCCAGACACCACTTCACCCGCCGCCAGGGGGCAGTCACACCCGGGATGTCACCCTGCCGCAGGGGCGGGCTACGCGTGCGCAAGGAGGCAGAAAGGCCAAAAGGGAAGCCGAGTGCGGCGGCTGCGCATGCGTAGCAGGCCGGCGGCTAGACCTGAAGTGAAGGGGCGTTCTGTGGCTAGACCCTGGTGCTCCCCGGTGCTCCGCCGACAGTCCTGGCTGCGTCCCACTGAGCCAGCTTCCTCCGGTCGCGCTCTCCCGACCACACAGTAGCAGCCCTCTAGCTCTCGTCCCGCGACCTCGGTACCTTACGGGCGACTCTGCGCTCTGCTGTAGCCCAGGACGGCGAGCGGAGCCGGAATGAGTCGATAGTCTGAGGCCGAGCGTAGAGTTATCGATGGGCCTTTAGGACGACACCACGAGAGTACGGGGGGTGGGTGGGACGAGACCAAAGTTATGGTGCGGGGGGCCCCTCCCGCACCATTTCCTCCGGAAAAACCTGTAGAGGCATTGGTGATCCCTAGTGCCGCGGGGTAGATGAACAAAAGCAGTGGTTCCAGCCTTCTCACTCTCCCACCCCACCCTCGTGAAAGGGCTATTTATTTTTCAGGCTTGGGTCTCGAGGCCAGGTTGCAGCACCCCCTCCATTCCCCCAGTCCCCTTCTCCCCATTCCGGCTAGGGATTCCCAGGTAAATTACCTAACGCTTAGTTACATTTGAATTCCAGACAAACAGCAATAACTTTTAAAATATATAAGTATGTCCCAAATACTGCATGAAATAAACTAAAGAGTTACTCATTTGCCTACGTTAATTCAAATGTAACTAGACTTTCTATAGTTTTATTCGCTAATTCTGGCAACCCTAGTCTGGGCCCTTACAAGCCTTTCTAGCTTTTTCCTGATCCTTCATTCCTCCGACTCAGCCCAATGACCCCTCCAAAACTGGGTCCTTCATACTTTATTTCCCATTCCAGCTCTACCACACTCCACACACGTCGCCTTACCCTCTTTCACAGAAAAAAAGTCCTTAAGACAGGCTCTCCCACTGTTCTCACCACGCTTAACATGCAGCTCCACCCCAACCCATATCTGGCCCTTTGACCAACGCCACACCCCCTGCCCATCCACCTGGGCCCTGGGTCCCAGGAACCTTCCTTCCTGTGCCCTCCCCAAATCCCCTCCTTCCTTCTCCTCAGCCTTTAAACTTCACAAAAGAACCCAAAACTTTCCTTCCAGCCAGCACTCTGTCCTTCAAAGAGCTGTCTTTAACTGCCTTGCTGGCTCCACATCCTCACTTCCCACTTCTCTTGATGTCAGGTCTTTTCTCCCAGCTCACCAGTGAAAATGTCAAAAAGTCACTGCCCTTCTCACCCTGCCAGTCTCAGCTGATACTTTTCATTCCGCATCTGGACACGGCTGCACAGTGTTTGACAGCCCTGCTCCTGAAAAGCTCCTGTTGCCTAACTTCCTATCAGACACTCAGGTCTCTCTCTGCCCCTAAAGGCTGGTACCCTTCAGAGGTCTTGTCTCCTTTCAAACCCACATTGTTCCTGGGATGGGGGGGGGGGTGTCCATTCTCCAGAGCTTCCAATACTACCACATCTGTGACAGCACCTTTCCATCCCTTCTCCAGCTCAGATCTGGCTCCCTGTGATACACTGTCCCTGGAAGTCCCCATGGACACCTCCACTTTTCACAACCAAGACAATTCACCATAGACCTACCTCACTGTGTACCACTGGCCACTTGGGTGTTACACCTGGGTGTGATCCAGCCACATCCACCACCGTCTACCATAGCAGCCTCCTGACCCGCCCGCCCCGCCCCCCCCACCACTCTGGCCCTCCTTCAAGCTATTCTACACATTGCAAAGTGGTCTTTTAAAAACCTAAGTCTGAGCCCTGTTAGAAGCCTTCAGGGGTTTTCTGTCCCCCTCGAGACTTCCGGACTTGGCTGCTGCAGAACCTGCAGCTTTCTCCCTTTCTCCGTTCCATAGGCCACTGGCTCCATTCTCCACCTGGCCAGAGTAGAAGGTTCCCTACCAGACACTCCCTTCTGAACCAATGCCCGCACCTTGGAGGCTTTTCCCTCCACGTCTTTACCTCTTGAACTCCTGGTTTTCAGCAACTTTCATAGCATTTTGAGGGCTTATTCTGTAAGAGGCATTGTTTTAATTGAAATTCACACAATATGAAATTAACTGTTTTCAAAATTTGTTTCACTTAGTACATTCACAAGGTCAGGCAACCACCACCTCTGCCTAGTCCCAGAACATTGTCATTACCACAGAAGAAAAACCTGCCCATTGTGCAGTCACTCCTCATTTCCCTCCCTTCTCAACTTCCCCTCTCAGACCCTCCCTCCCTAGCTCCTAGCAGCCATCAATCTACTTTCTGTCTCTAAGGATTTGCCCATTTTTTTTTTAATTCCCATTTCCCCCACCCCTTCCCATTCCACATCAGCTCATTTTCAGTCTGCTTCTGTTTTGTTTATTCATTTTTTAGATTAACATATAAGTAAAATCAGGATATTTATTTTTCTTTTTCTGCCTTATTTCATTTAGCATATACCCTCTAGGTCCAAACGTGTTGTTGCAAATGACAAGATTTCACTATTTTTATGGCTGAATAATATTCCATTGTATATATACCACATTTTCTTTATCTATTTGTCTATTAATGGACATCTAGGTTACTTACATATCTTGGCTATTATTAGTAATGCTGCAACGAACATTGGGGAGCATATGTCTTTTCAAATTAGTGCTTTTGTTTTCGGTGCATAAATACCCAAAAGTGGAATTGCTAGGTCATATGGCAACTCTATTTTTAGTTTTTTGAGGAATCCCCATACTGTTTTCCATAATGGCTAAACTAATTTACAATCCCACCAACAGTGTAGAAGGGTTCCCTTTTCTCCACAAGTTGTCTATTGATTTATTGATGATAACTATTCTGCCAGGTGTGAGGTTATATATCATTGTGGTTTTAATTTGAACTTCCCAAATCATTAGTGATGTTGAGCATCTTTTCATATGTCTGTTGGCCATCTGTATGTCCTGTTGGTAGAAATGTTTATTCATATCCTTTGCCCATTTTTAAAAAATATTTATTTATTTATTCTTAAAGATTTTATTTATTTTCAGAGAGAGGGGAGGGAGGGAGAAAGAGAGGGAGAGAAACATCAGTGAACAAGAGAAACATCAATTGTTTGCCTCTTGCACAACCCCAACTGGGGACATGACCAGAGACCCAGGCTTGTGCCCTGACTGGGAATGGAATCCGTGACCTTTCAGTTCACAGGCCTGCAGTTAATCTACTAAGCCACACCAGCCAGGGCTAAAAATTTTTTTTTTATTATAGTTGACATTCAATATGATTTTGTATTAGTTTCAGGTGTTAGCATAGTGGTTAGATAATCATATACTTTACAAAGTGATCCGCCCCCTGAAATCTCAGGTACCCACCTGGCACCACAATAGTTATTACAATATTATTGACTGTATTCCCTATGCTGTACTTTCATACCCCCGTGACTATTTTGTAACTATCATTTGTACTTCTTAATTCTTTTACCTTTTTCACCCACCTCTGCCCTATTTTAAATTGGATTGTTTACTTTTTTGGTGTTAAGTTGTTTGAGTTCCTTATATATTTAGGATACTAATGTTTTATCAGATGTACCATTTATGAATATCTTCTCCCATTCAGTAGGTTGTCTTTTCATTTTTTTTAAAGATTTCATTTATTTAGTTTTAGAGAGAGGGAGGGAGAAAGAGAGGGAGAGAAACATCAATGTGTGGTTGCCTCTCACACGCCACCTACTGGGGTCCCGGCCTGCAACCCAGGCATGTGCCCTGACTGGGAATTGAACCGACCAGAGAGCCTTTGGTTAGGTCGGCACTCAATCCACTGAGCCACACCAGACAGGGCTGTCTTTTCATGTTGTTGATGGTTTCCTTCACTGTCCAAAACTTTTTAGTGTTATATTTCCATTTGTTTTTCTTTTTAGGAGACATATCCAAAAAGATACTGGTAAGAGTTTGTCCAAGAGATTACTGTCTGTGTTTTGTCCTAGGAGATTTTGATTTCAGGTCTTACATTTGAGTCTTTAATCCAGTTTGAGTTTATTTTATATATGCTGTAAGAAAGTGCTCGAGTTTTCATTTTTTGTGTGTGTATCTGTCCAGTTTTCTCAACACTACTTATTGAAGAGACTGTCTTTACTTTGTTGTAGCTTTTTAGTGTACCTTGATATCAGGGAATATGACACCTTCCACTTTGTTTTTTTCCCAAGATTTTTTGGGCTATTCTGGATCTTCTGTGGTTCCATGAAAGCTTTAGAATTAGTTCAATTCTGAGAAGAATGACATTGGTATTTTAATAGGGATTGCATTGCATCTGTATCATCTGTATATTGCTTTAGATAGTAAGGACATTTTAACAATATTAATTCTTCCAATTCATGAGCAAGGTATATCCTTCCATTTATTTGTATTTTCTTCAATTTCTTTTTTGAGTGTCTTAGTAGTTTTCAGAGTACAGCTCTTTTACCTTCGTGTTAAAATTTATTCTTAGGTATGTCATACTTGTTGATGCAGTTGAAAATGGGATTGTTTTCTTTTTATGAACTCTATTGGTGTATAGAAACACAGCAAATTTGTATATATTGATTCTGTATCCTACAACTTTACTAAATTCATTTATTAGTTCTAATAGTTTTTTAAAGATTTTATTTATTTATTTTTAGAAAGAGGGGAAGGGAGGAAGAGGAGGAATGAAACATCAATGTATGGTTGCCTCTCATACAGCCCCTATGGGGGACCTGGCCCACAACCCAGGCATGTGCCCTGACTGGGAATCAAACTACCTTAGGTTCACAGGCCAGCACTCAGTCCACTAAGCCACACCAGCCAGGGTGAAACATCAATTTTTTTGTTCCACTTTCATATTCTTTGGTTGATTCTTGTATGTGCCCTGGCCGGGGATCGAACCACCACTTTGGCTTATTGGGACAAGGCTCTAATCAACTTCCTGGCCAGGGATTATGTAACTTCTCGAGGAACCACCAAATTGTGCTGAGCATTTTACTTACATTATGCATGAAGTCTTCACAGTGGCTCTGCCAAGGAGAACCCCTTCCCCGCATTTTGAAGACAAGAATAATGAAGCTCAGAGATGAAGAGTCATGTGCCAAGGGGCACACCTCTGGAACATGACAGAACCCATCCGGCTGGGCTCAGCTCTGGCTGAGATGACTACTCTCTGGGTAGCCCCCACATCTCATATATCCTCCTCATCTTCCTCTGTAAGTACAGGAGCTGTACTGCTCCTGTGGGGCAGCTC